AGGTACATTTAAAAAGATTGGAATGAGCAACTTCCTAGCTGTATAAAAAAAAGATGTTGTACTATTTTTATGCAGTACCAATACAATACATGAAGCTACCATCACCTGCCCCTCTTCCTCAGTTTAATATCTGACACATTCTCAGTAAAAATGGTGATGCAATAGTTTGAAACTTTTCAGTGCACAGGGTTTAAGAGCTACTGTAGATAACTGAGTACAAGAAGTTGATCTTGCTTCATGAAACCAAAAATCCATATTTACTAAAGTTATCAGTTTACAGTCTTTATGAAATAGACTCCTCGTGCTCACTTGAATACCAACAGTAATCTAAACACAACACCTGCTGGGCACACTCTTCCTGAACTCATATGCGGGTGTGAAATAGGTTAATAAACCTGACAGATTTGTTAAAGATTGTTTAAATTCATAATAGTTAATGACATTCAGAAACGTATTTTTATTTTCAGCAACCAAAATTTCCCTTTAGTTACATGATTCCAATTTAATATTCCATATTAAGTGGATTTAATGAGTTTTGACACACAATGTAAGTGGCTGTAGGTAGGTTGGATAAGTAAATGTGTCATGCTTGTTAAATTAGTTATCAGCAGAGTTGATCAACAGGCGATCTTGTGTGAAATTCACAAACTGGTAGTATGTGTGGTCACCACTGGCAGTAATGCAAGCTGGACTTTCTCATTTTTCTTATAAAGCTTGGAACATTATGTGAATATTCACTTGTCTTTAAACACAAAATACCACATATCTCTCCTGCTTATCTCACAAATTGTCAAGGCATCATAAAGACATTGTTATGCAAGCAGAACAAGGATGTGTGCTGTCCTGGAATAATGTCAGGATGAGGCTACAGGTAGGATAGCCACCATGATCTCAGATCTTGATCAATGCAGTGCTTTGTACTATGGTTTCCATGAAGGGCTATGAATAAAGTTCTATAGTGACCTGATACTCCTGCCCAGACCGTTACACTTGAATCTTTGAATCGATTG